GCCTCTCTGCTCTCCACTCAGTCACTATTACATTTTTTGATCAACGGACACATCACATCAGAGGAGAAGCCCCCATCCATCCAACCATTCATCCATTCATCCATCCAACCATTCATCCATCTATATTTTGCAGCTCTGTAGTCAGTCATGGTAGCAGCAGATCCAGACCTCCCTCTCCCCAGTGTTGCAGCTCCTCCTTGGGGATGAGATGAGATATATATTCTCTCCAGAATGTTATGGATCTCCTTCAGTCAGACCTGCCTGGAAAACCTCCAATGTAAAGGACCCAGCAGGATTCAGGTCAGATGATTGAACCACTTCAGCCGGCTCCTGTCGATGTGAGGGAGCAGCAACTCTGAGCTCCTCACCCACAGAGGAAACTCATTTCAGCTGCTGGTATCCACAATCTCAGTCTTTCAGTATCTATCCAGAGCTCATGAGCATTGGCACATGTGTACAGACATCTCTAAGTGGTCTGAGGGTTGTTTAGGCCTGAACAGTCAACTTGACCCTAGATAATGTAGCAAACTGGACACAGATCGGACATGGACCGACTCTCTCTCTCACCACAGTGTCAGAAATGATGTCATCACGTCCTTCAGCAACGAGACCTGAAGGTTGAGACTAAAATTCGAGTTCGGTCACGACAACCTTTTGACGTCATCTACAAGGCAACACACATGTGTAATATGGTAAACAGACAAGCTGTTACCATGGTAACAACAACCGTGTGACAGGGTGTAACACACTCAGTGTTTCAGTTTACACCAACTGTGTCAGGTCCAGATAAAAGCATGTGGCTTGACCTGCACTCTACCAGTCACACAAACACACACACACACACACACACACACACACACACACACACACGCGTACAGAGAGAGAGAGAGAGAGAGAGAGAGAGATTAGCTGTGCACACACAGCTCTTGGGTAAAGATGTTAGGGCTGTATAGGGCATAAAGGAAACACCTGCAGACAATACTCAGGGCAGAAAGTGTTACCTCTTTGTTTTTCAGGTTAAATAAACATCTATGTGTCTGTTTATTGTTGCACTGTGATGTTTGAATAGAACATCAGTGATCAACAACACACTGTGTCTATACACAAGTCCAACTGTTTGTGTTTGTCTCTTGATGTTATTTTATATCTGCATCAATGAGTCAACAGGAAATAAATATTTTACATTTCTAAACAGAACATTTATAGAAACAGCAAATAATCCAGATATTTTTCTGCTGTTACAGAAACAAACAGACACTTCCCAGATAAAAAGTCCAGGACATGATTAACCAATTAAACCAAACAGCCACTAATGAACAGTAACATCTGGTTGAACTAAACTAATGAAGAGAAGCAGAAGCAGCTGGAGAGGAATACACCTGAGTGAGGACTGAGAGGGTGAGGCTGCAAAAGAAGAGAAACCTGACACCATGGTACCAAGATACAAAGTGGTCGTCCTGCATCAGCAGGGTCTCTCAGACAGATTTCTCAGCAGACAGCTGTTTGCAACCAGATGTGCTGTCCAAGATCCAGAAGCAGGTGAGGCTGAGGACCAGAACACAGCAGCTGGAGAGAATCACTCTAACCTCTCTCTGAAACGAGGTGTCCAGCTGAACCATCAGCTCAGAACTGACCAGCAGGACCCTGGTCCACCATCTACAGTACAGACAGGTCAGAGGTGATCTTTATGGAAGAAGAGACAAAAACAAAGGACAAAGTCTCAGAGAGTTACCTGTGCAGCAGAACACAAGAACGTGACTGCAGAGAACAGGGAGCAGGAGGAGGTCTGGACTGATGAGTAAAAGTCTGACAGCTTAACACTCACAGTTCTGTATATGTACTGTACACACACACACACACACACACACACACACACACACACACACACACACACGCTGATGTCAGCCTATTACCCTGAATACCCCCTCATCACAAAGACTCCTCCCTCTGAAGGTGGAGCTCTCTCTCTCTTACTTCCTTCCTTTTTCCTTCCTGGTGCCCAGCACCCCCCCCCCCCCCCACACACACACACACACACACACGCACACACTTCCCTTATCATCACCCTCTTTCCTTATTGCCTCTATGAAAGAGAGAGAGGGAGGGAGGATGGTAGAGAGACATTAAGCCGTCATTGCTTTCACTGTGTAGTAAAGCTCCATTAAGCTACCTGCGGGCACAACACACACGTGCGCGCACACACACACGCACGCACACACACACGCACACATAGTGTAACACTGAAACACGCATGCACGCGCACGCGTATGCGCACGCGTGTTTCAGCGTTACATTGAGTGTGTGTGTGATCTTCCACCTTTCAGCGCTTTGCATTTTTACCTGCAGTGGACATCACGCATTGTCACGCGTGCACGCGCATCATCGCCGCGCACGCTCGCGCACGCACGTTCGCAGCAGCAGCAGCACCGAGGGAGCGATCAATACGCTAAAAGCCCGGAGAGGATTTTTAACCGGAGCGGAGAAAAGACGCGTCGCGCGGGGCTGAGAGAGAGAACCGGAGGAAAACGGCAGGAATAATGAAGGTAACGGAAACAGCGGGGTCCCGGTTTGTTTTTTTTTCCCGTCTCCGTAGCACGAGGCGCCAGGGCGCGTTCTCGGCCGTTTTGACCGAGAAACCCGGTTATTTGTCGGAGCGGTTTTTTCTCCTGCAGGTACAAACGGCGCTGTCAGCACATTCACAGCCGAGGCATGCCGCCTGCTGCCCGGGCTGAGGAGCCGGACTGTCCATCACATCCTCCATCACCACCACCACCGTGTGTGTGTGTGTTTGTGTGTGTGTGTGTGTGTGTGTGTGTGTGTGTGTGTCTGAAGGTCTCATTTGTCACCCTGTAAAACCACAACTGTAAACTAGTCTACCAGCTGCTTTGGGATCAGTGTGTGAACGGAGGTGACACTGTGTGTGTGTGTGGTGTGTGTGTGTGTGTGTGTGTGTGTGTGTGTGTGTGTGTGTGTGTGTGTGTGTGTGTGTGTTTGCACGGTGGACAGCAGCTGGATCTGCGCTATAGAAGCTGCTCTTTGTCTGCCCTGACCGTTTATAATGAATGGCAGCAGGAGTAAGAGGAGGAGGTGTACAGGAGGAGCTGGTTACAGTATGAAGCTGTGGGTCACTGATGAGGAGAGGAGGTGGTCTGTTACTGTACAGAGGAGGTGATGTGTTACTCCACAGAGGAGGTGGTGCATGCTGTGGTTTTCAGTAGTAAACACCACTGATGCATGAACATAACCTCTTCATTGTTCATCACTACAGTTCAACAACAACACGCTGCAGACTCTACAACTCAGTCTGATGCTGTGATGTTGTATCAGGTTTTCTGTTGACTGAGGAGTTTCAGGAGCAGGTTGTTTTTTTTAATGACAGTGAGAGGGAAGGAGGTGTTCTTTTAGAAAGATGTGTTATATGAAGAAATGATGTAGCTACTGAAGCAGTGAGAGGAGGCGCTGTTCTCGGAGGAGTATCACTAGGAAGGAGTGGGGACAGTGAGGGATAAACAGGAGGGAGAGGAGAGAAGGACGGAGGTGGTGTACCACAGAGGAGGCGGTGTACTACTGAAGAGGTGGTGTACTTCAGAGGAGGTGGTTTATTACAGAGGAGGTGGTTTATTACAGAGGAGGTGGTGTACTACAGAGTAGGTAGTTTATTACAGAGGAGATGAAACTGAGCCTTAAAATGAGGTGTCAGGACTTCTGTAACTTTGTGATGTCACAACAAAGCAGTAACTGCACTCAGCCATGCCTGGAAGAGGAGGGGGTTTGTTACTAGATAGAAAGGGAAGGTCATGTGGTATATTATTGGAGAGAGGTTGAAGGTGTGTATTATTGTAGTTTTGTTATTTCTGTATATTTAGTCTGCTGGTGTTGGAGCAGGGACCCCCTCCCCCTCCCCCTCCTCCTCCTCTTCCTCATCCTCCTCAGGTGTGATAGATGCTACATTAAAGACAGTAGTGTATGTATTGTATATCCTCACTTCCTTCTCTACCACAGTAACACAACACACACTGCAGGTACTTGACAATGAGACTGTTATATGATGCAGTTAATGACAGAAGAGGTGTTGATAAATGTGAGGGAGCGGTTGGTGGTGAGTTACTGAAGAGCAGCTGGTGTTGAAGATGAAGAGCTGTTCTCTGGTGTCCAGACTCTTCTTCTCTGGTTTTGCGGAATTTAGGTGAACTGCGATGAAAGAGTTGACTAGCTGTCGTCAGTCTTTCTTCTGTCATTAGTATTTAATTTTTCTTTTAGTTAATGATCAGACTTTACATGTTTTAGCCTGTGTGCTACTAGAGAAGCAAACAATCCTGCAGAACCTGCTGCTGTTCTTACAGTCATGTCTGCACAGAAATCAGTGAGCGGGCTGTTAAAGCTCAGGTCACCAAGTCTGCACACATTCTCTGAATCACATTATTGTTGTATTGCGGTGTAGAAAAAGAACAGATGTCTCAGTGTAAGTGTCAATTAACACAGTCTGTTGTAGAGTGTTCTGGTTTTCACATGAATCTGGGAAACAAACTACAAACATCTGCAGAACTGCTGAACTAAACTGTCAATGAGGATCATAAAGGTTCCAGAGATCCTGAACCTGAACCTGATACAGCAGGTGGAGAATATTTCCATCTGATTAGGATAATGCAGGTATAAGAACACAGAGACTAAGTCAGTGTAAACAGAAGTGTTTATGTGAAGAAATAATTTTATTTTGAAGCCAGTCTGATGGACTTTCAGGGAAAAAAAGAGTTTAAGGTGAAACCATGTTGTGCAGATGGAGAAAAGTGTGTGAGGGTCAGAGGAGGAAGGTGTTGTCCTCAGGTTAATATTTAGCCAGCGTTCCAACAGGTGACAGATTAGTGAACACACACACACACACACACACACACACACACACACACACACACAAAACGAGCCGACAGAAACTCACACAGGAATGTAATGAAAGAACAAGTCAACACTGACAACAACTGAACAAACACGTCAGAGCTGCTCTGAGTCTGAATTCTGGTCATCATCATATTCTCTATGAGACACTGAGGTGAAGATGATATCAGCTTAATCTCCAGGATGTCTTTATTTTAGCGTAGCTTAGTTTAGCATAGCATAAAGGAGCCGCTCAGCCCCAGTGAGTCCAGGGCTGAGAAAGAGTGAGTATGTATCATAGTATCGTGAACATGAAAATCATCAATCAATCAGATTATTATGAACCAAGCAACCCACTATTTATTCATTCATATGTTTTAAAATTTCATCTTCTGGTTGACTTTGCACAGATAATGTATAACCCAAATCCTAACCTCTGATGATCCAGTCTCTGGACTTCCTGTCTGACATCTGTCATTACTGTCTAATAACCACAGAGACCAGCTGATATAGTTAAAATGGATTGGTTTCTATCATTGATAGATTATCAATGAATGATTATTAGCACCACAGTTCAGGTGGCACTTGGACAGGTTTTGGTTTTAGGTGGACTTAACCTTTCAGAGCCTTCAGGCTGAACCAGATAATATCAGGCTTCAACACCAGTGAAGTACGCAGGTCTTACCTGAACCACAGCGGATCTCGACAGACTTCCCTCCATTGGTCTCCGCAGTGTTGTCCACATGACTGGGTGGTCAGGCTGGCCTGGTCTGGTCCTCTCCAGTCCTAGTGTCAGTTCACTTTACTCTCCTGTTTCTTTCTGTTTGAGCCAGATGTTTGTTTGTTTGTGTGTGTGTGTGTGTGTGTGTGTGTGTGTGTGTGTGTGTGTGGGTGTGTGTGTGTGTGTGTGTGTGTGTGTGTGTGTGTTCAGGATAGAGCCAGAGTCAGGATGTGGTTAGCTTAGCTTAGCATAGAGACTGGAAGCAGAGGGAAACAGCTAGCCTAAGAAATGTTCCAACACACAACTGATATCTAAAAGCACAAAGTGTGGGAGGAAAGAGGAGGAAACCAGAGAAGAAGACGAGAGGGATGAAAAATGACAGTGTAGAGGAAGAGGAGAGGGAGGAGGGGACATAGTTTGTTCAGAGTCAGCACATCACAGAGTGAACTGTGTCTGCAGTGAGGAGGATCTGTCTAATCTCTGCTCTGCTCCAGTCTCCTTCGTGGAGTCTGCTCTGATCACTCTGATTGATCAATTTCATATTGATTGTAGATGTGATCAGTAGCTGGTCTGGTGGTCTGGGTCTACTCTGTGATCACAGCTCTGTTAGAGACTCGGGGGCTGAGGTGAATCTGGTCCGTCAGCAGCTTCGCTCTCTGCAGTCTGACTCAGCTGATGTGGATCGCTCTGATCCAGACTCAATCAGCTGATTACTGTTTCCCTCAGGTTTTTGTCCTACAGCTGTTTTTCTGGAGATTTTATAAATGAGCAGGTTAGATTCCAGATGTTGTCGAGTTATCAAACTAACATCTGCTGATGTGAGGAGCTTCTAGCTGGGAAACAACAGACAGATTTTTCACATTAAAAGCCTACTTAGATCGGGCAGGATTATGCAACTTGTAGACTTTGAACATGAAACATCTGTAGGAAGTGTTGAGTTTGATTGACAGTGAATTAATAGAGCTCAAACAAATGTCAAAGTAGATGTGAGTAGAATCATTTCCTGCTTCTCTCTGTTTTCTGTTCTGTCCTTCACACTGAATTTATTTTGTTTTAAAGAATTAAAATGATTGTAAAATAAGAACTTTATAAATTTGAACAAAAACACCGTTTCACCTCTGATTCCATCCACTCTCATTTACTTTGCCTCTTTTTTATCCTTAAAGAACAGAGACCGGGCACTGACCTTTGACCCCAGGTAGATCAGGGTCTGACTGGTTTTAGTCCTCACTCAGCAGAACTGGTTTCCTCCCGTCAGCTGATCTGTCTGCTGATGACATCATCAGTGGCTCCTGTCTGTGATGATGTCATCAGAGGACGCTCGCTGTGTGTCTGCAGACTCTCCCAGACTCAGACCGACAGCTGCTGTCAGACTCAGTCAGCGTCACAGTCACTGAGCTGTCCTTCCTCCTCATCCTCATCTTCATCATGGCTGCACACTCACAGGAAGGAGGATTTGTTCCTCTCCTGTCAGTGACCTTTGACCTCTGACCTGCTGGTTGGATGCAGCAGAGTCTGAACACAGAAACATGAGGAGAGAATAGTTCAGTGTTTAATTACTGAATCACACTACACACAGTACATACAATATACAGTATACACACTACACGCAGTACACACACAGTACACAATACACAGAGTACACACAATATACAATTTACACACAGTACACACAATATACAGTATACACACTACACGCAGTACACAATACACACAGTACACACAATATACAGTCCACAGTACACACACTACACACTGTTTTTCTTTGATCGTAATCATCGATCATCTTATTGAACCTTTGATCAGTGTTTGTTGTTGTTAAATATTATTAAACTGACTTGATTATTAATAATTAATCTGCAGATTCTATTTACACTTTGATGTGTAGTTTAATCTTCACAGATGTGTACAGATGTTGGGGTGTAGAGGACTGGGTTGTTGGGTAAATGTTTA